CAGGAGCTGAGTCCCACTGAGGAGGAGGCCCTGCGCTTGGATTTCAGCAACAATGGCTGGCTCTGATGACAAGCAGGAGACACCTGGCCTGAGCTGTCAGGGACGTCTGTTCCCATAGCCTGAAGAGGAACAGGGCATTAGGAATTAGGGCATGTATTAGTCAGTGTTCTATTACTGTGAAGAGACACCATGACTCTCGTGATGCTTATAAAGGAAAGCATTTAACTGGGCTGGATTATCACTTTCAGAGGTTTAGTCCATTATCATGCTGGGAAGCAGGGCAGCATGCAGGCAGACACGGTACTGGAGAAGCAGCTGAGAGTTCTACATCTGGATCTGCAGGCAGGAGGAAGAGAAAGTCACCTGGCCTTGCTTGGGCTTTTGAAAACCTCAAAGCCCATCTCCAGGAACCACTTCTTCCAATAAGGCCACACCTTCTAACCCTTTCAGATAGTGCCGTTCCCTAAACATTTACTTGTACGGGGGCATTCTTATTCAAACCACCACATTCCACTCCCTGGCCCCCAGGGGCTTATAGCCATATTATAACACAAATGCATTTAGTCTAACTTCAAAAGTTCCCGTAATCTATCCCAGTCTCATGACTAATTAAAAGTCCAAAGTCCAAGTCGCTTCTGAAATTCATGCAATCTCTTAGCCATAACCCACTGTAAAATCAAAATCAAAAAGCAGATCACATATAATGGCACGGAATATCCACTACCATTCCAGAAGGGTGGAAGGGGAGCATAGTGAGAAAATACTGGGCCAAAGCAAATCCAAAACCAATTGGACAGACTCCAAACTCTGCACGCTTCAGATCTCCAACTCCGTTCAACTTTCTTGACAGTAACACACTTCTCTCTCTTGGGCTGGTTCCATCCCCTGTTAGCAGTTTTCCTCGGCAGGTATCCCATAACTCTGGCATCTCCAGCATCTTGGAGTCTCCAAGGCAATCCAAGCTTCACCTTCACATCTTCACGAAATGGCCTCTCTAGGCCTCCGGTCAGGAACACCCTTGACACGCGTCTGGCCTCAGTGGCTTTCCTTAGATGTGGAGGGAAATTCCACAACACTTTCTTGTATCCTTGATTCTAAAATAAGAACCATGTGACTGAAGCTGCCAAGTTCTACTGCTTGATGGGGCTAGAGCCTGACCCCCTCGTTCAAATACATTTTCACTAGCTTTCTGGTTTTTGATGGTTTCCTGAATTCACTGCACAGCTTTCCTTAATTGTTTCACGAATTAGAAATTTAGCAGGGTGGGGTCTTGCCCTAAGGTCACCACTCCCTTTATTCCAATGACCATCAGGATTTTCTTTAAACTTTTTATCTCCTTGAGCCCTGGACTGAACTCCATTACACTTCCTGGTGCACTTTTTAACCTCAACCTGTACATTTTATATTTTCCTTTGCTCTGCTGGCCCCTTTTTTAGATCTGCATTAGACTGGCCACTAGCCTGGCTGTGGTGGTGCACACATTTAATCCCAGCACTTGGGAGACAGAGGCGGCAGGCAGATCTCCGTGAGTTCAAGGCCAGCCTGGTCTACAAGAGTTAGTTCCAGGACAGGCTCCAAAGCTGCAGAGAAACTCTCTGCCTCCTGAATGCTGGGTTAAAGGTGTTTGCCACCACTACCCCACAGAATAGTCTCTAATATTATTCTCCTCTGAAACCTCTTGAGCCGGGTCGTCATAACCTACATTGCTCTCAGCACCACTATCTTCCATGCTCCTATTAGGATGGCCCATTAAGCCCCACTTAAAGTGTTCAACTACTTTCCTAGTCCAAAGTCCACATTCTGCCAACAAGAAGCATGGGCAGGCTGTCAGAGCAATACTCCTCTCCTGGAACCAATTTGTCTTAGACTTCTATTGCTGTGAAGAGACCCTATGATCACGACAACTCTTAAGAAAAGCATTTAATTGGGTCTCGCAATTTCAGTTACATGGTGCTGGAGAAGTGCTGAGAGTTCTTTATCTGGATTCATGGGCCAGGAAGAGAAAGCCACTGGGCCTGGTATTGTAATGGATTAAGTAAAAATGCTGCGGATCCCTGATTGGCTGCAGTGGCAGAAATGCTGCAGGTCCCCAAGCGGTGGCAGTGGGCAGCAGGTCCCAAGAGCAGCCAGTCTCAGGCAGGAATGGCACAGTTCCCCCTCGTGGCTGCAGTGGGCCATGAGTCCCAGGCAGGGAGCCGCATGGTGGGTGAGAAACCTCGATGGGGCAGCCAGTCTCACGAGGAGTGACAGACAGTTGGGCATGCCATGAGACCACGCTGCTATTGCCCTAAGGTGGGTGAACCAGGGAACCTAGCAGAAGGGTAGGGAGTGCAGCTGGAAACCAAGGAAACTGGTTACTGAAGGGACCGTTACTTCTGACTTGAAGCTAGAACCTCCCCACCCCCCCCAAACACACACACACAGAGTTTCTCTGTGTAATAACAGTGGCTGTCCTGGAACTCACTCTGTAGACTATGCTGGCCTTGAACTCACAGACTTCTACCTGCCTCTCCCTCCTGAGTGCTGGGATTAAAGGTGTGTGCCACCACTGCCTGGTTGAAGTTAGAAATCTTAGTTATGCATGGCATGGCTGGAAAGTCAGGTTTGGCCCTAACTATTAACATTCTGACTTCTTCCAGAGGAAGCAGCTGCATAGGAAACCTGATCAGAATGTGTCCCTTGGTTTTGAAAGGCCTCCAAGAGGCTTTCCAGCCACAACGCCCTTTCAAAACTCACATGTCTTAGCAATTGACTAGTCTTGTCCCTAGGTTTAATCCCCACCATTGAGTGGCCAAGACAGCCCAGTGCCTTGTCATTAGGAAATAATGACACCTGGTGGATAGACACCTGACCTACACTCTAGCAGACTCCTGACCAGCCCAGGTATGAATCTTAGAGACTTGGACTGAGGTAGGACCATGCCTGTCTAAAGACACTCTACTTTCATTATCTCAACAGATCACTCTGTTACTATAATAACATATAACAAGTGAAACTTGACGCCTATGCAGACTTCCTGGCCAGATGCCAAGGACCTTCCTAAAAGCAGTGGAGCTTGAAGCTTCAGCCTTTTCTTGTCACTGAGAGAAGCCTTATTAATTCCCAGCAAACAGCCCACTATTAGAGCGGTAGCCTAGGAAAGCTTAATTGTGTGTGTGTGTGTGTGTGTGTGTGTGTGTGTGTGTGTGTATGCGTGCATACGTGCAATCACTCATGCAGGAAATGTGGTCACCCCGACAGGGAGGCCTCTATCAGTCTCCACTTTAATTTTTCAGACACGGTCTGTCACTGAACTGGAGTTTGTCATTTTGGTCAGCTAGCTGGTGGCAAGTAGCTGGGGTCTGTGTGCTTTTATTCTCCAGCACCGGGGTTACAGGTATGAAATTTTTCTTTCTTTCTTTCTTTCTTTCTTTCTTTCTTTTTTTTTTTTTTTTGTTTGTTTGTTTTCAAGACAGGGTTTCTCTGTGGTTTTGGAGCCTGTCCTAGAACTAGCTCTTGTAGACCAGGCTGGTCTCGAACTCACAGAGATCTGCCTGCCTCTGCCTCCCGAGTGCTGGGATTAAAAGCGTGCGCCACCACCACCTGGGTACAGCTGGCTTCTTATGTGAGTGCTGGGGACTCAAAACCAGGTCCTCACCCTTTCACAAGCTGGCTCCTGGGCTTCTTTTACAGTCACCTCCCGGAGCAGTGGGGCTTACAGAATAGGTTTAGGGCTGATGGGGAAAATCTAGGCCTGAGAGAGGCAGCCTAGAAAGCTGAGAGCGCAGACTCCAAGCTTCAACAGCCCTGAGTTTATGCTCTGGGACCTGTTGGTGTCTGTGGAGCCTGAGGTAGCCCCTGATTTCCCCGAATCTCAGCTGTAAAACACCTTTCTCCCAGAGCTGTGGGTGAGACTGAGGTAAGAACTGTAAATAAACAAGTAAGCATGACAGGAGTGTTTTACTCCTGGGTGCAGTTGACTTGTTTGAGGTCACCCAGCAAGCCTGGCAATAACTGGTTTTGGGGCTTATATATACTGATGCTCAATCCAGTGGAAGGGAGGTGAGACCAGAAGGAACAGGATGGAGAAACCCCACCCAGCCCTGCCATTTACTAGCCTGGACAACTTGACCCTGCTGGTTTAAAAAACTCGTGTCTTCTACCCCACAGAAGTGTGTGTGTGTGTAGCCATAGGACAACCTCCTGTGTTCCTCAGAATCTGTCCATTTTGGTACCTGGGCCTGCTAACTAGGCTAGGCTGGCTGGACAGTCAGCCCCAGAGATACTTTCTTTGAATCCCTAGACCTGGGAGTAGAAGCATGCATGACCACGCCCACATTTTCACACAGGTGCTGAGGATCGAACTCAGGTCCTCTTGCTTGCAGGCAAACACTCTGGCTGGCCTCTTGCCAGCTCAGCACAGGGGTTCTGAGAAACAGGTGATGCTATGCAGCAAAGTGTTCAGTGTTAGCTCCGAGCACCTCTCTGTTTAGTTCCCACAAACAGCAAACCCATGAGCCCAAGTCCAGAAAGTCATGAACATGAAGTGCAGGCAGTTGTGGTGGCTGGTTTATTCCTATAAACACTGTTCTACAGTACAGTTCAGGGAATAAATAGAGGCACACAGCTGATTCCCACCACAGTCCGCTGTTGAGGGAGACTTGAGGATGGGATCTGGGCTAGGGCTGGGACCTACGCTAACTGGAGACCTTGGGATGGTTTTGGCAGCAAGATCTGTCCCAGGCCCGAAGGCCAAGACTCTTGCTTGAAGAGTCATGAGTGAAACGGAGGTGCCAATGCCAGTCAGTTCACACTAGGATGGATCCAGGACTTCTGACACCCAAGGGGCTATGAGTCTGATCCACTGATGCACTGGGAAGGAACTGTCAGTGCAAGCCTTCCCTGGTGGGATTCAGGTCATTCATAGGAGGCCTAGATAGGTCTGCCCCTTGCCCTGGATTGATAATGGATACAGGTCATAGCTATTCTTACACTAGTT